TTTTGATATAGAAATGAAGAACAATGTGTGTCCCACTTAGGTTTGCATAGATGATGTGATACCCTTCAAGAAACAATTGTGTTTCCTTGATCAAATCAGAATCACCTAAGCAAGTGTCAAAATGGTTTAATCCGTTCTATAGCAAACCGCGGTAACACCGCATTTCTAAAATAATCAACCATAAACCGTTCCATTTTATGTATAAATAGCATAGTACAACATCTAAACTAGAAAAACTAGGTAATTATTATTAAAGTTAAAAGTTAGACTAATTATTCGTCTCATTGGTATAATCTAACTTAATTATTGGTCTCATAAAGAACAACGGAAGCAATAACACCTTTTTATAAATGCTATTTCTAATATTATTTTTCAAATTATTGATCCATGTATATTAATTACAAGTTTACAGACTTATTAATCGTGTGTATGAATTTATGCACAAATAAGCAAAGTGAATAAGGGAAAACAAGTGGTGGACGAGTGGCTTCCCTCTCCACTTGTGTTTTGTCCTAAAACTCCCACTTAAGGGCAAAGAAACTTTTATGTCACACCCACTTTAATTACATACTTTGACTTCAATTAATAGTTCTTTTTTTAATGTTTCTCCAATTAAATCGTTCAGGTTCATGACATTATTTTTCTCAAATCTTTTGTTTCACTATGGAACTATAGTTTGTTCTCAACCATTGAAATGTGTTTCTTTTGTGTTAGCAGTTTTAAATTCGAATGCAACTTTTTAAAAGAGTGTTTTCACGATCAAAAACTTTATTATGATCTCTGAAAACAGTTTAGATTTATAAAATTTGTTATACTACGTCTACGTATGGATCTTATACTTACCTGTCAAATTTATAGACAATAAAAATGTTGTTAATTGAGGTTGTGATTATTTGATTATTTTGTGTGTATTTGGTTCACATGGTTTTTTTTGTTGGCAACTTGCATTTGCGAGGAAGCAAAATGCAACGCGTTCTCTCCCTAAACAACATTTTTATAATTACCATATCCTAACTATTTATTTGCCTTTTTCAGTTAATTGAATTCAGGATTGTTTGTTTTTTTCAAAAAATAGCAGCCTCAATTGGAAAATGGAGAGAAAGTGAGTTTATATGATTTGAAAATTAAAAAGCTACAACAAACTTTGATATAACATGTATGGAAGAAGATTCCGATAATATAAAAATAAAGTTATTCTTCCATGCTAAGGGAATCTCCTCTATCTGTTAGAAGATTGGTCGAATAACCTTTTACAAGTTGTCATAATTTCGCACGTCATAGTTTAGGTGAAGAGTTTCCATTTTTGTTGTCTTGTCACACGCAGATTATTGTAGAATTAGCTGACAATATTGGTAGGTAAACCTATGCTTATTCAACTTCATAATTTTCTTATAATCGGATAAATTATTGACCAAAATCTAGATTACTTTTGAAATTTGAAGAAAGATCTTTTTTTCATAACCAAAACCTTCAAACTAAAGTTACTCCAGAAAATGATACAACCCACAAATAAATAAAGTTTGATTTCTATTCAATTTATATATTTTACATACCGAAATTTTTTGAGCCGAAAACTAGAGTAGCATCCCTAGTTTCAGTTGAATTACAATATGTTTGGCAGAAACTTAACTGAAATAATCGGAACAAACCTGATATTAATATTATATATATATACATCCTATAAAGTTTTCCTTCATATGTAATCAAAGCCAAGCCAACTTGATATAAACAAACCATCATGAAACTGAATTATCCTAGACACGGATCCAAGATTTTGTAAACTACACCCAAAGCTCATCATTGGACTTGTAAGCAAATATTAATATTACACATTGCACTATATATTGTTTATTAAACATTGGCTTCTTGTGAAGAGCTTACAAACACAAGACATAAAGATAAGAGATTAAGACCCTATCAAAAACACCAACAACACATAGAAGCAACCAAAATTTAAACCTTCTTTAATCGGAAAGTTTTAGGGATTAACTAAGGCATTTGAGGAGTTTCATGCTTTCCTATTATATCTTCGGATCGATCCTTGGCCAAGCCTGTCATTAAGACAAAGAAATTACAACTTATCGTTATTAAGCAGCAGCTTAATTCCTTTGAAGTCTCTGACCTAAGACTAAGACTAATAAGAGAGATCTAGAGGCTTTGGATCTCGTGGGTGACACGTGATTCTTGTTGTTTAAAAGTGTTGCCAAGATTTCAATCCAGCTAGTTTAGTTACCTCTTCATCCATGGACCATGTGCATGATATATTATAAAATCCGAGTATAGTAGATACCAGGAAACTACAAAACACATTTATAAGGTCCAAGTATTGCAATGAGTACAAGTTTAGTAGTGTTTTTAAAAGTTATAAATGTAATAATCACAAACTAAGGATTAGGATAGTGGTGGGGTTAGGCCCTTCAAAGGGGAGAGAAGTCTAACCCTCTAGTTCAATTTTTGGTTCAGAAGAATATTCATATTACGACGGAAACACAAGAGGACTTTGATCCGAAACGGTAAACTAATTGATCGATTTAAAAAGGTAAACGGTAAACGGTAAACGATACACTTAAATGATTTTATTGTTATTTCCTTTTCTCTTCGATTGAAATTTGTTCGTTGTTTGAGATTTGATTAAGGCTTTTTAAATGATGGCCACT